GCTTTGGTGGTTGGGGAATTGTGGGATTTGAAGCCCACGCATCTGGAAGTTGCCAAGGTTGAGGAACACTGACTTAGGATAAGGGTGGCATGGAGCTTCAGTGTTTCACTTGTACGTATTTCAATTTTATTGCAGCATCCTGTAGCCGTGGCTGTAGTGATATAAACCTCTGAGTTAGCAAGATTAGCACCACAACCCTAGTCGAATGACACTTTAGGTCATTGGGGTCGTCTCAGTATTGATGGAGTGCCTGGCAACTCATTTTGGCTATAAGCTATGTGCTGATCTTCGGAAAGACTTTTTACTTCCTTGAGGCTTCAGTCTCTCAAGGGCTCCTTGGGAGTGAAGCTTATGCACAGAAGCTGCGGTTGGCAAAACAGAGGGGCTGATTGAAGTGGTTCGACCCTGCCTCATGGAGGAATCAAGGCAGATAGACCCAGCTTTGAGATATATGTTAGTGCAGCGTTTCTCAAACTTGGCAACTTTAAGATGTGTGGACTTCAACTCCCAGAATCCCCCAGCCAGCGATGCTGACGCTCTCATGTTTCATATTCCTACAGAGGTAGGACTGGGTTCAGATCGCGGCAGCTGTGAAGCTTCCTGGATGGCCTTCAGGCTGCTTGCTGTCTCTGAGCCTCATCTATCTTAGAGGTTGCTCTAAAAAGGGATGTGGGGCAGCGTCACACACAGTGCTTGAAGCTGTTTAAGGGTAACACAATTAAAAGCAAAGTATTACCTGTGCGGAGAGTAGCTTGCTTACTTAGCACTAGCAGTTATTTAATATCTGAGTAGGGATTTGAAACCAACTTTGTTTAGTGCAACTTTGCATGATCCTTAGGGCTATCGTGGAAGACTTTTGAATGCAACCTTTGCAAACACTCTTTTCCAATTATGCATTTGGTTTAAAAAAATACTTTGAACAGCATCAGTGGTTGGGTAGCACACAGTGTACTCAAGAGCTTTTTCAGAGTGACAATGAGAACATGTGTTGGACAGATTCTACCCTAGACACCAGCCACTCCCCCAGTCTGGTGCCTTCCAGATGTGGTTGGATTCCTTCACAGACTATCATGCAGGCTGCAAAATGTGGGAAATAGCCTACCTTATCTGGAGGGCAGCATGTTGGGGAAATTTAATAAATATAATAATAAAAATAAGTCTAATGTAGGTTTTTCATGAAGGATTAATGCAAAAACAAAGCATATTTTGACTATTTGGTATTGGGTTCTTCTCACAGGTCGTGTAATTGCTCCCAAGAAAACTCGTGTGATCCAGCAGCAAAAACTGAAAAAGGTGTGCTGTCTCTCATTTTCCATGTTTAAACATGCACCAGTGGCTCTTTTCCCCCCAATAATTGCCTTCAGTGGCACAGGGTTTGTTTTTACTACAAATCTATGTATATGGCGTAATTCATAGTTGTATCCTTTTCTGATCATGGCTAGTTTAGCCAGTTATCTATGGGCTGGTAACTACTGCACAAGTGTAGCCCATGGAAGATGGTTCAAAAATTGTGGTGCATACAAAATCTGGCTGCAGAGTTTTTAAGCAGATAGCTGACTGTGAAGATGTTTTGTCTGTACTGATAGAACTTCATTAACATGGCCTGTTTGTTTCTCAGTACAATTGGAAGTGCTGGCATAGACTTTTAAGGCCCTATGCAGGTACTGAAAAGGAATACCTACTCCCATAGTAACTTGCATAGATGTTAAGAACATACGCTGATGCTCCTGTGGGCTCTCCTGGTAGGTGTAGACTAGGCTGTCAATATATTGGTGCTTGAGGCCAAATGGCACCTTCTGGCTGGCCCCTATTCAAAATGCTTACTTCCCAATCCCAGCAAATACAAATTTGTTGCTGCTGTTTAATACCCAAGGTCAGCTGTACGAAGCAGCTCTCTCACACTGCATAATGGTGGAATTGGATTTGAGGATGGGTGAAGGGATTTTCCACTCTAGTACATCATCTACAAAACTTTCTTCCCATGGAATATAACCTGGGGCTTTCTCCTCTTAAATTTTTGATGCTAGGAAAACCTTTTCAAAAAATAAATCCCTGGATATGTAGGTCTTTTTGAATTCAGATTGCTGTTTTCCTCTTTGTTTAATGTTACTTTATGCTGATTGGATGTGTGTTCAAGTGTCTTGCTAGGATTTGCGTACAAAGGTACTTTTCAACTCCGTAAGAAACAGGATCTTTTTGTTATTTGGTTATTATGTTATCCTTCATACAAAACCAAAAAACACAAAAAGATCCTGTTTCGTACGGAGCTGAAAAATACCTTTGTACACAAATCCTAGCAAGACACTTGAACACTTTTAGGATTAAGCAGTTACTGCTTAATTGTCATGAGTTGCACAACTGTCATTCTATAAACTCAGCCTCTCTCTTTCTCTCTCTGCAGACTCTGGAGGTTACCATCCGTAAGAAGATTGAGCATGAGGTGGTAATGAAGGCCAATGCTAAGTTACCCAAGAAACTTAGTGTGCTGAAGGCCCCCAAAGCAGAAACAAAGAAAGATCCAGGCCACTCCAGCAAGTCTTAGCAATGTTTTATGCACTGAAATTGGTGATTGTGGCCAATTTCACTTTGATTTGACTGTTCCACAGTATCTGCCATTTTGTTGGGTAGTCATCTAGGGTGCTACGTGTTTCAGCTAGTGGAGACAAGTTTTCTTCTACATGAAAAACCACCTGGCTTGCTCCTTGCCCGATACTGTGTGTGTGGGCTAGTACAATAGGTATTAGGTCATTTTCAAACCTGCCTTACTCTAGTTTAAGTCTCAACAATTTTTCTGCTTTGTCTTTGGATTTATGATTTCCATGAAAGCTACTTTGTTTTCAGTCTAGTATGACCTGGGCCAGATTTGCAACTGTGGCTTAACTGTGTTAGACCAGAAAGGAAGATCTCGTGTGAGTATCCACTGGGGGAGCATAATAACTCCCGGGTTCTTGCCTGATGTTGATGAACCTGTTGATGTTCACATCTGTTTTAGTATAGGGATAGGCAACATGCTACTCTCCAGAGGTTTATGATTGGCCCTTGCTAGTGTGGCAAATAGGTATTAAGAGGAACAAAGTTCACACCAAAGAAAGGCCACTGGATTACCTTCCCCTACTAGAAATAAAACTCAGGTCTATCCATATGATCTAAATTCTGCAAAACTGAGGTTTAGTCAGATTGTTGTATACATATTTAGAATTGACAAACAGGCTATTGTGGAACCACATAATTCTGTGTTTACATCAAACATGGATCTGCATCTCTATGTTCAGTTTTGAATCAAGAGGCAGAAATGGCACTCTTAGCTTACAGTTCTCAACTGTTTGAACGTTATCCCTTCTGGAAAGTAGCTTGACTTATCTGTATGCTGTGAGCTCTCTTGCCCTTTGTCTTCACCCGCTGCCCTCTGATCAGTATAACACGCTAGTGATTCTTTTCTGCTTGCTGATTCTCATCCTTTTTTTCCTTATCTCATCCCTCATCTGTTTATTGCAGTTGAACCCTCCTACCCCTGCAAATCACACAAGTAGTTTTAATAAGAGAGAGTGAGGCTAAAATGATGATGCATATGCCATGGCACCATCATGCAGTTGCCCACATTTTGTACTTGTGCCATGCTGTGATGCAAATTACTAAGTTGTGCCTTTGACATGATCCTGGCATCACACACTTGTCATCATTTGTCCCTACCTGCAAATATCCATATTAGTTCAGGAGTGCAAGCTGTTGATCTTTCTATATATGTTACCCAACTTTAAAGTAGTCTGGGGAATAATCTTGAACTATGGTGTATTTTCTAATCAGCAATCCAAAACCTATTTTTAAAAGAAGCTTAATTGCTGCAAATGTTTGCTTATAACTAAACTGTGTCTTTGTGCTACATTTAAAAAAATAAATAATCCAGGAAGTACATTCTTAATTAGTGCATTTATTTGAACGATTCTATCAATTATTCTGTTCTTTGACTACATGCTTACCAAATTAAAAGATTACTTAAAGAATGTATAAATCTCCTAAAGTGATGTATATATATTCTGCTTGTACACTTTCTGGATATTGGCCATTACAGGCAATAGGTTGCTGGATCAAAAAAAAGGATTTTTTGTTTTTTGTTTCCTGAGCAAATAGGACATGAGCAAAACAGATTTTTTTTTCAGATTTTTTATCCCACCTTTATTCTTTTTTATAAATAACTCGAGGTGGTGAATATACCTAATACTCCTCCCTCCTCCTATTTCCCCACAACAACAACCCTGTGAGGTGAATTGGGCCGAGAGTGAGTGACTGGCCCAAAGTCACCCAGCTGGCTTTCATGCCTAAAGTGGGACTAGAACTCACTGCTTTCTAGCCTGGTACCTTAATCACTATACCAAATTGGCTATGTTTAAATACTTTAAAGCCTACTGGAGAACAATGTTTCAATGTGTAGGACTGTTTTTGCACTGTGCTTGAAGGCAGAATTATTCCAAGAACAATTCCCCCAGTTTAGAATGGAGGAAAAGAGTAGGAGAATTTATCAATGTGCCTCTTAGTCCTTTGGAACTGCCACCTGATATCTTAGCAGCATCCATTGGAGTTCTAGTTTGGCCTTTGTCTCATGAAGATTTTCTTTGTTTTTTTTTTTTTTTTAATATACTTGGGCTTGGGTATAAGTATGTCCCTCCCTTCTCATAAATAACATAGAGAAAAAAAACAAAAGGTTGAAGGAGTGGGGGATGTTCATTGAGCACAGGATGTTGGAAGGAGGGAGGGGAGGGTACAGAAAACCTGGAAGCGGTATGGGGACATGGAATGGCATGATTATATCTCTTCACACAAACACTTAGCACTCCAATTTTATTTGCCAAATCCCATTTGCATACTATAAACAATACTGCAATACTGCAAGGATTGCTAAAAAAACTCCAGCAGAAATAGAATTTTGTGGATGATGGTTATAATGTCTGGTTTTTATATTCCTTTGCATTTAAGGCTTGTGTAATTATAATAAAAAGTGGAGGGGGGCTGTGAAATGAGAGAGGAAATAAAAAGTGAAAACCCAATTTTAGTCTGGAGATAATCAAGATTTTGTCAATGAGGTAATGGTCAATATTTGTGCATTGTAGGGAAAGGAGGAGTTTATATGTGATGGTGAATGTAACACACTCAGTCTTCTCAAGGCATACAGCCTTCGTACTGACCTGACCCTCTGCTGTTGTCTGGTGACCAGTGGAACATGGGATAAGAAAATACACACATCAAAAAAGAGTGCATGTGCAAAAAAAGGAATGGAACTATTTTTCCCTGTTTTTGTTTAAGATGCTAAGACAAGAGGGTGTCAGAACCTTTCATCCAGGTGGAACTTCCAAAATTGCCCCACCAATTCCTGGGAAGTCTGATCAATCCCATCAAGAAGAAGGAAACTCTCAGAAGCAGAAATATGTGAGAGGCTCAGCAGAAGCCAGTTTCAAAGAGGGCTGGAGTAGGAAAGTGTGTATAAATTAGCCTTCCCCATCCTGCTGGCTGGGGAATTCTGCGAGTTGAAGTCCACACATCTTAAAGTTGCCAAGTTTGAAAAAAAACTGCTCTAAATCTTTTGGGTCATGCTGGCTGGGAATTTTGGAAGTTGAAGTCCAACATATCTGAAAAGCACTAGTTGGGGGAAAGCTATCTCAATCAACCTTTCCCAACATAGTGCTCAAGATGTGTCTCTACCACCCTTAAATAGAAAAGAAGTTGCAGTTCAACACATCAACAAGCCATTGGTTGAAGAGACTAGTGAGTGAAGTGGCAAATACACCCAAGGTGAAATGGTTGCTTCAAGATTTGCTTCTGGGAGTGAAGATATATATTGAGTTCCTTCTGAACCTTCAATACAAGTTTTTACATAGAGCATGCTGTGTGTGCAACCCCAAAACTGGTAGGAGAATTGCTTTGGTAAGGAATCTTTTGGGATACATATCTTTAATATCCCATGACTTCAGCGGTAATAGTGAAAGTGGACCTGCTGATGCACCTTTGAAGAAAAAAAATGCTCTTTTCACTTCTCTCTCCTACACTGGAAAATAAATGCCTGAAATACAAGCAAGTTCTTGCTGTAGTATGTTGGAATGAATGTTAGCCTATCCTGTGCAGACAGTTCTCAACTAGAATTCTAAAGAATTGTGAAATAAATAGCTGAAGACCAGCCAATTAAATTCAAAGCACATCCAGAGAAGCGTTTCCTAGCAGGTCACTTTATTTATCTGTCCCAAGATTTTCTACTCCGCTTAGTAGCAACTGTCCAGGTTTTGGGGAAGTAGAGGTCTTTTTGAATGCCTAATCAAAATCTAGGATTAAATCTGGATCTTTCTGCAGGCAAAAGTATAGCTCTTCACTTTTACTTCCATAGGATATGTAGGGATAGAAATTACCCTTTTGCTAAGGAGTCACCTGATTGTACACCTGATTGGACAAGATACAGGTAGGGCAGAGGCTCAGGCAGGGATGCGACATAGAGCCTCCTGAAGAAATGGTTAATTCAAATGTGTTTCTGTGTTGGGAATGAGTCAATGCTCCCACTTGATGCAGAGATGGGCTGAACTAACCATTCTAAGCAGGCCCTAGAAAGAGACCAGACTTCAGCAGAACATCATGCAAAGATACATTGGGCATCTTCCTCTGCAAAAGGTTAATTTGAGTTTACAAAATAATTTACCCTAGACTAGCAACACAATTTGGAAGTTATTGCCCTGGTCTCTGAGGGCTGAAAACTGCTAAGCTTTCCTCAGTAATGACCAGAAGAGGTCAGTGTTGGAGACAGAATACTGGGGTTTGGCAGAACATCATTCTGAAAGTTTGTAGGCATTTTTAATGAAATTAAAAGGAATTAAGAAATCGTGTTATGCATATTTGTCAGATGGGTTAACAGATTTATTTACTGAAGCATGGGAGAATCTGACAGAGGACTCACCTTTCCCTAGGTCCTGCTGAAATAAAATCATTGGCAAGTTGGAAGAGGCTGTGAAGGCTATCAGGTTCAATTCTAGATGCAGTTGGTACCAGCTTTCCTGTACCATAAATCAGTTCTTCTGTTCCTACACCTTGGAAGAATCAAGACTCAGTCTTAACCTTCTTCTGCTTGACATCCCTTCAGTGCTCTTATGTCCCCCTCAGTCTCCTTTTCATGCTAACTTTCTGTTTTTTTCAATCTACCTTCAAAGGTCTTTGTTTCTACTGTAGTCCCCTAATCAACCTTAATGTGTTTCTCTGAATCTGTACCAGGCAGGAGGGAATGAATTCAGTTTCATTTCTTTAATGGAAAATCTCATTAAAACCAATGAGTAGATAGAACCCAGTCCCAGTTCCAGGGATAGTATAGTTTTTTCTTCATTGTTGGGGATGGTGATGGGATGGCCCTTCTCTTTTCTAAGTGGTCTTCCATGAAAATAAGTCTTCTCTGCCAATAGAGCAGCACTTTTTCAGTCTATTTGGAGCAGGCTGTAGTGTTGAAATCTTGCAAAGCAATCCTATACATGTCCAATTAGAAGTATGTTCTACTGAGTTAACTGGGATGAGTCTTGGGGAAATGTACATAGCCTTACCATTCCTATTTTGACTACATCAGAGAATCCCTCCAGAGGTATCAGTTGTTTGAACCAAAGAAGATTGTTGGCAGTTTCCTCTCTTAGGCTGCTATCATGTTTTCCTTCCATTTGTGGAAGCTAGAAAGAAGCCTCTTTTCCATGCAGGCCTGGTCTATCACCTATTCATAGGTTAATAAGATGTGTGGGCCTTCCCAGTTGGAGAGAGAACAATGGCACAGCAGTAAGGTAGAATGGAAAATCCTTGGCTGACAAAGAGCTTCAAAAGGATTTATTTGAATGGGGAAAGAGGCAATAACATGGCAAATCATATGCAGGGTGAGAAGTGCTTGTTTGGTAAGGCAATTGCTCTGTAGCAGGAGAAAAAAACTAAAACATTCTTTGCAATGTGCATGGCGTCTATGGAAGAAGTACGGGCAGAGTAACGTAGGTGAAAAAAGTTCTCTAAAGATGACATGCATCTACAACTTCAGCATAGACACCTTCCTTATGCCTTCTGGTTCTTATCACAGAACCAGAACAATTTCAACAAATACAATTCAACTTCTTACTCATAGCTATTAAAGTTTGCTCTTATACATTCATGCCCCGGCTATTTAATATTATTCTTAATTAGCACAATTTATGTTATTTTGTTTATGATTATTATATATGATATGCGGTTTAGGAATTGGATTAGGACCAGGGAGACCCAGGTTCAAATCTACTCTCAGCCACAGAAGGTCATAGGGTGAAAGGTAGGATATAAATGTAATAAAGAAGTAATAGAATATAAGAGATGGAAAGGATCTTGAAAATCACCTAGTTCAACTCAAGTGCAGGAATCCACTGCTTCAGCAGCCCTAACAGATGACCTTTCAGTTCCTGTTAAACAGTTCCAGTGAAAAACAGACACCACCTCCTGAAGCAGTCTGTTCCATTGTTAAACAACTCTAATAGTCAGAAAATCCTTCCTGATGTCCATCCAAAATCTCTCCCCTTATAATTTAACCAATTTCTGGAACAATGCTGGACAATCCTGCCTTATCATCTACCTGACAGACCTTCAGAAGCTTCAAGACAAGTTATCATGTCTTCCTGCAGTTTTCTATTCTCCAGACTAAACATATCCAAAACTTCCAAACATTTCTAATTTTCTTTTCTTCCTAATCCCTCATAATCTTGGTTGTGCTCCTCTGGCTCCACTTTAGTTTGTCAATGTCCTCTCTAAAATGCAATAGTCTAGACATGGTCTGACCAAGGCCACGTGTAGAGGAACAATGATCTTGATCAATACTTTACCTCTGTAGATGCAACCTAGGATTTTTTTGGAGAGGAGCAGGTATTGCTGCCCAGTATGGGTTGTTGCCT